GGGGGGGAGATCGAGATAAAGAGATATCACTCCCTGGAGGGTGGTCATGCTGCCCTCTCGTCTTACCCACTTGGGTATGCATGCACAAATGCCTAGTATGTTTTCAAGCTGCTGAGTCTGGAGCTCAACCCAGAGTCAGCCACGTGGGATCCAGCCACCTTAACCTCCATGCCATCTCCTGTTCCAATAGGCATTTTGTTTTTGGACAGGGCCTTGCCATGTCATGATCCTCCTTCCTAGCTTCTGAAAACATTATCTAGGATTACAGGTGCACATAACTGTGACCAGCATGCTCAGGTCAGCCTGTTGACCAAACCTGGGCCACTCATGTGGCCTCCAGCCTCCTGAGCAGTGGCACTGTCTGTGCACCACTGTGGCTGTGCCAATGCTAGGTCTACTTCAGAGCAGTTGATGAATTAGCATTTTGTGTGCCCTCACAGAGAGTGCTGGAGTTCAGAAGTTCAGCCTTGGCAGGGGTGGGTTCTCTCATCAGAGGTGGTGCAGGAAAGAAAGACGGAGGCCTCAGTGCCTTTTTCATGCACATCCTCAATTGGACACTGTCAGAGATCGCTCTCTGAAGAGTGACAACTGCTAGGAATCATCGTGCCTTTTTATTGAAAATGTGATACATGCAAGTGAACGGGTGAGGGGCTACATGTTCTAATGATCAATTCATAAAGTTTTAACAATAGAGATCATAGATTCCATTTAGGGTTTGATTAAGGGCAGGTCTATTAATCATCCATACAATTCAACAATTGTTTGATTGATGTAAGCAGGCTTTCGGGAACCTCTGGGGTGCGGTTTTGGAAAACAGTTCCAGCAAGCATTGTTAATTATCAGCCGATACTCGGCAGCAGCCGTCTTGCAATTACTGATGCTGGGAACCTCTGGGGTGCGGTTTTGGAAAACAGTTCCAGCAAGCATTGTTAATTATCAGCCGATACTCGGCAGCAGCCGTCTTGCAATTACTGATGCTGAAAAAGAAAATCTCAAGTATAGATATTAGTTCTTATGGATCTCAATAAAGAATGATACTTATATAATTTTATAGGGATCCAAAACTTAATTCAAGGAATCCTAATATACTTATCTATTTAAAAGGGGTGAAGCTATTGTTCACTTGGTGAGGGCAGGGACAGTTTTTCAACTGGCAGTAAAGTGACTAGCAAGTTAATGAAAAACTTTAAAGTGGGTTTGTGGTATACCTAAGCATTCTATTGTGCCTGTGGCTCCACTGTCATGTATTTTGTTAGAACATTAGCTACCGTGGGACGGGAGTGTCCTGGACCAGTTTCGGCCTAAAAGGTGATTTTTAAGCTTATGTTAAATGTATCTTGAAGGGCCTTCCAAACGTCAAGAAGATTTCTGCCTAGATGTGACTTCAGCACACCCTCTATTGTGACTGCAGGGATGAAGTATTGCAATTAACAGTAGGTGGTCAGGGCAAAAGGGAGCAGTCGGGGGACTTTCAGGAAATCTTATCATATACTCAGGATGTATGAGAGAGCTATGTAATTCTTTTATAGTAGTATATCAGGGAGTCAGAGGGGGGTTGCTTCCCAGCAAGGCTACTGCAGTCTCTGGAGCACACAACAAGCGGCCTTGCCAACATGCTGAGTCAACCCAAGCTTTGCTCATGGGTGGGGTGGGGTGTACAACAGCGGCCTTGCCAACGTGCTGAGCCGACCAAGGCTGTGCTCAAACGTCAGGGGGTTCAAAAAGATCCTGGGGCCCTGCCGGGTCAGACTCCTCCAAGAGAGGAAGAGAAGAGGAAAGTGAGAAAGCAACTCCCATGGGGAGGTCATGCCAAATCCTCTCTCTTCCATTTCCCCCTTTTCCAAGATTTGGGGCATCCATGCCCATGTGCCTGGTGTGTTTTTTTTTTTTTTTTTTGGAGGTTTTGGAGAGATTTTCACTGTAGGGCGCGTGCGCTCGCCAGACAGACAGAGAGAAACATAGAGACAGAAAGCAAGAAATCACCCCCCAGGGGGGATGGTCACGCGGCAATCCCTTCTCCTCCATTCTCCTCTTGGGATCTTGGGCACGCACTCACACGGTCCCGGCGTGAGTTTTAAGCCACCGGGTCCGGGATGCGAACCGCGGTCGACTACATGGGAGTCCAGCGACATAGCCATTACGCTAACTGCTGGTTCATCCTGGTGTTTTTTGATCACTGGGTCTGGGACTTGAACTGTAGTCAGCTGCTTTAACCACCATGCCACGAGCTGCCTCTGCATATGAAATTTCTATGTGCTATTTTTCCAACTCTTTCATATGTCAGGAATTACTCAAAAATAAAAGTTAAAAAAAATGAAGCACTAGCCCCATAGCACAGCAGTAAGGCAGTGTGTAGACAGAGCTGGGTCCCACATAACCAACCAGTCTGAATACTGCTCTAGCAGCTTGAGAAACTTGCCAGGCACACACACACAGTGCTCAAAATCCTGACGAAAGAAGAAATGGAGGGTAGGGACTATGGCATGACCAGGCCTCACTGGGGCAAATCTCTCTCCCCCTGGCACACACATATGCCCTCTAGGATTTAAAAAACAAAAACAAAAACAAACAAACAAAAAACTGAAAAAAAGAAAGCAAATATCATGAAATATTGTACTAACTTTCTATTAATAAATAAATCAACATAAAAATAAGTGGAATTTTTCAGGGAATTATAAATTATTACAAAAATCTCATGAAAGCATTAAAAAATCTAAATAAAAAGGTCATTAAAAGCTCTTACAGGGTTGGCCCTGTAGCTCAGTAGTTACAGAAGCTGAATCCTACTTGGCTCATCATGCAGTTTGAATCCTGGCTGCAGCAGCTTGAAAAACATGCAGGTCACGTGTGCGTGTGTGTCCAGGATGCTAAGAGGGAAGAAGGACTGCGGTGTGACCACACCCTACTGAGGGGTGCTTTCTCTCTGCGGTGAGCACACTCTCCGGCAATAAGAAACTGCGTGGGGGACAGCAGGTGGGGTGGTGGCGTAGGCATTGGATTCCCCCACGGCTGAGCAGCCCAAGTCCTGGATCTGGTGGCTTGCTTTCTCACTTTCTCTCTCTGGTGAGCATGCATGCCCTATAGCAGGTTAAATAATAATATTAATAAATGAAATCAAGTAAATAATTCCTAAGAAAATCAAAAACGTAAAAGGCTATAACCAGGGCCAGATGGTGTGCATGGGTAAAATGTGCCCTGTGACACAGAGCCACATGGAAAGGCGGTCGGTTTGTTCCTGTGACCTGAGTACACTGGACACGCGTGTGCCTGATTTGGAGCTGGCTGACTGGAGGGGACTGCAGTGTGAAAACCCCCTAGGGAGTGTGTCTCTCCCTGTTCCTCTCACTCGTGGCAAGAAAGAACATCATCACATTCTAGTTCTAAGGGCCACATACAGCAATGCTCCACGATTTCAAAAATGCCGAAAAGTACGTGTGTGCTATTTACATTAATGCTATCTAAAGTAAAACAACCAAGAACATCCGAACAATTTTAATGTTGCAAATTAAGAAAAAGGTGAATTAAACTTTTTAAGAGCTTTTAGATGTAGGGCACATGCACTTGCCAGAGAGACAAGGCAAGTGGGAAACCACTCACCCCGAGGGCTTGACCCTGCTGCAGGACCTTGGGCACACATACAAATGTGCCTGTCGTGAGTTATAAGTGGCCGGTCCAGGACTCAAACCATGATTGACTACTTGGGAGTTCAGCAGTATGACCATTACGCCATCTGCTGATCCCAGAAACTTAAACTTTTAATGAACAGTTCAATACTGTCATCGTGGAGCAATCAGGCATAAGTTGTAAAGTTTACAGACTAGTTAGTATAGTCCAACAAACTTTTTTTTAAATATATTTTTGTCTCATATTTCAGTACTTAATAAAAATTCTCCCAACTTATTTAGATTTCTCCAGCCCTATTTCAGCTCAAGCCACTTCTTCATATTTAACATGCTCCCATTATTAAAAGATAAAAGTCCTAGATCCATCCCCAGTAGCCAGAGTTATGTCATTATCTTTTCACTCCTTTGTAAAAATGACTACACACACTATTAAGATGAATTAAGCAACACGCATTTGTCTTCTTTTCACCATCGTTTTAATAGAAAAAAATATATAAACCCCTAAATTACAAAATACAGATCCTACCAACTTTGCAATGGAAACTTTAAAAACATTAATTTTATAAAAGGATGTTGAAAAGCCAATCTGCAAAGACACAAAAACAAGAAAGTTTTAGAAAAAGCCTAAATAAATATATTTATATTCTGGGTGGAGATATTTCAAAAGGACATAAACTAGAAGCAAGCAACACCAAAAATGATTAGTAAGTCTGAATACAGTGGCTAAGATTTCCTGCACAATTGTGCAGTCTGAATCCCAGAGCCAGCTTGAAAAGCAGGCTAGGTGTGAGTGCATGCCCCAGATCCAAGGGGGTGGAGAAACGGAGAGGGAGGGATTGCAGAGTGTCCACACTTCTTTGATGTTGGTTTTTTTTTTTTCCTTCTTTCTTTGTCCTTCTCTGAAGAGTGCATGGGTGGCAAATTAAAAACAAAACACCAAAACTCCTAAATGAGTCTAAAGGATAACAATGAAGTGGAAAAACATATTTGTAACATATTATTAAAGACACAGGACCTTAAATTTACAGAGAATTTATACATATTAATAAGAAAAAAATAACAATCTGAAAGAAAAATTTGAAATACAAATATGACAAACTATTTAAAAAACATAAAAAAATACGAAAATATGCTTGAACTTGTTCATGATTAAGGAAACACATACAATGATACAGCATTTTTCTCACCCATGAAATAATTATAATTAAAATGCTTGATGATGCCCTGAGCTAGGGAGGCTGGAGGGAAAATCAATCTCATCTCTGTGGGTGGGAGTACAGGTCAGTCCAACTTTACTGACCATATCTATCAAAATTAAATTATTATAAACTTCAGCAATCTATTAATTTATTCTTTCAGCATGTATTTTTCTTACAGACAACACAGAATAGATTTCTCCAGCCTTATTTAAGCAAAAGCCACAAGCTGAGAGAAACGCATCTCAGCGGTATTGCATATACCACACCAGCATCTGGTAGAAGGTAAGAGTTATTGTACACTGCCAATGAGCATAAATTAAAAAAAAATCAATTTAATTTATCATCATTACTTTAGTTTTAGTTTGCAACAAACTGTAAAAGGGTCAAGCGTGGACACATCAACAGAAAACTATGGCATTGCCAGGAATATTAGATGGCAATTAAAAAGAAGTCTGTCTCTATGTATGTACTGCTATGGAGAGGTCTTCAAGGTGTACTAGTCCAAACATACATACTTTTTTTTTTTTTGGAGAGGTTTTTGCTATAGGGCGCATGTGCTCGCCAGACAGACAGAGACAGAGAGACAGAAAGCGAGAAATCAACCCCCCCCGGGGGGGGGGGTGGCCACGCTGCAATCCCTTCTCCTCCATTCTCTCAGGATCTTGGGCACGCACGCACACACGCCCGGCATGAGTTTAAGCCGCCGGGTCCGGGACTCGAACCGCGGTCGACTACGTGGGAATCCAGCGACAGCCATTATGCTAACTGCTGGTCCCAAACACACATACTTTTAAAAAGACACATTAAATTAAGAAAAGGAGGTGCACTGAAGTGTGCACCAAGGAGAAAAAAACGGTATTAGAATACACTGCAATTAATTTCTGCTCTCCAAAGGAATTATGAAATACTGTTAGCTGTGCTTCTCTTCAGACAGATGACAAGAGGGTAGGGAAGAGGGTGGAGACTTTTACCTTTCACTTTGTACCAGTCTGGACTATTTACGTTTCTGTCTTTAATGTATGACATTATTTATTTCAGTAGGGACTGCATGGGTGGACAGAATGTAACTCATTCGTTGATCTCTTTGGCTCTTTATATTAAAAGAAAAACTCTCTACAATAATTTTTTTTTTTTACATATACATAAAAATACACACAAAGAAGTTAAACCCAAACATACACAATTTAAAAAATATATACATACTTACAGATCCATACAGTGAAATTAAGCAGGGGGAGGCCTACCTTCTCCATATCAGACACTATCCTAATGTACAATGTGCACAGTTTCTCTCCAAAGACTCAAAGTACTTCATTAATACTCATCACACTCGTGTCGGTTTCAACTTCACATGGTGAGGTTAAGACTAGGGGCACAACAAAACAAAACAGAAACAAAAGAAAACAAAAATCCGAGAGAGTACGGGTGCAGAACGGAACCGCACAAGTGTTCTGACCACAGAATGTGCTTTTTGTCTTTGGATTGCCTCAGTTAGGTTTCAGAGGCTGGCCTTCGGATCAGGTCACCAAAATAAGCAGTGATTGTCTTCAATTTATTATTGAGGAAGTTCTGTTCTATTTCCACTTGCCCTCCAGGCCCAGCTAGGGAAGCCACCTAAAAAGATGAACAGAAGAAAATCAAACACACACATCATAATTTCAAAACAATTCTATACCCATTTAAAGAGTGACCTCCTTTCCTGGAAACCTGTCTCGTTCACCTGATCACCTACAGCTCGCCCTTTCATTCACTCAGCAACGTACTGAGTACCTGCTACACAAGACTAGGAACACATGAGTGCAAGCCAGCAGTGACCAGGCCACAGCCTCACTCTGTGAGAGGCTAGCTGCTATGAAAGACTTTGTTCTTTCCTCACTGTTCACTTAAGCTGTTCTCCAAATGTGGGCCACCTCATCCAGTTGTTACCGTTTTGTTTATTCTTTTTTTTGAGAGTTTTTATTGCTATAGGGAGCGTGCACTTGCCAGAAATACAGAGAGACAGAAAGTGAGAAATCACCCCCCAGGGGGGATGGTCATGCTGCAACCCTTCTCCATTCTCCTCTCGGGATCTTGGGCATGCACACACACGCGCCAGGCATGAGTTTACGCCACCAGGTCCAGGACTCGAACCGTGGTCGACTACATGGGAGTTCAATGATGTAGTCATTACACTAACTGCTGGCCCCACCATTTTGTTTATTCTAAATCTTTTCTTTTTTCCTTTTTTGTTTCCTGCTGTGGTAAAATGTATTGTTTTTGAGGCTTTCTGGAATATAGGAACTAACCCCGTTAAGAGGAAGCTAAAAACTCTGCTCCCTCCACCTCTCCACAGCCAACATCCCAGTAGGTTGACTGGATAACCATCTAGCTGGCAACTAAAGACTCTTGCTCCCTGACAACAATGCTTGCACTTGCCTTTGTAGCATTCCAAACTAGCAGTGTTTATCCCAAGTTCTTTCACAGATAAAGCTTTGTTTTGGTCCATCTTTTTTTTAAAAAAATCTAACCTCTCAGAGATGTGTCAATTAGCAAACATCAGACCACTCTACCAGGGAGCAATACGAAACACCCAGGGAAAAGGGAATGCAGTGGAGAGCCCTGGGCAGTCAGAGAACAAAGATGTGGCGTGGTGGAGAATGGGGTACCCAAAGTAGTAGGAGTGTCGTGGTCACCAGCAAAATTGCACTGTGTACTTTCTTTCTTTCTTTTTTCCAGAGGTTTTGCTATACGGCGTGTGCACTTGCCAGAAAGAGAGAGAAACCAAGAAATCACCCCCCAAGGGGGACAGCCACACTGCAATCCCTTCTCCTCCATTCTCTCAGGATCTTGGGCACGCATGCACACACGCCTAGCATAAGTTTTTAAAGCCACTGGGTTCGGAACTCGAACTGTGGTCGACTACATGGGAGTGCAGTGACATAGTCACTACGCTATCTGCTGGTCCCACACTGTGTATTTTCTAAAGAGAGATGCTCAGTCAGTCAGTCTAGCTTGGTTTCGAGGGTTGAGAGAAACGCATCTACCACACCAGCATCTAGTAGAAGGTAAGATTTATTGTGTACTACCAATGAGCATAAATTTAAAAAATTATTTATTTAATTTTATTTACCATTATTTATTTTTTGTTGGCAACAAGACTCATTTGGTCATGGGGGGTGGGGGATGGGGGAGGAGAACGCAAGCTGACAGGGCCAGGACTTGAACTGTGGTCAGCCATGTGGGAAGCTACCATACCACCTGCTAGCTCCACAAATGACATTTATTTTAAAATATTTCAAGTTCCTTCTAGAAAAAATGTCACAGATACAGAAACAACAGGCCATCCTATGGTACATTCCTAAAAGAAAAGGAGCGGCTTCACCAAGGCAGTAGTACCACCACCATTAACCTGCAACCCTGTGCCCAAAGGGACATAGAAGGGATAGGCTGGGCAGTTGTCAAAAGAAATAGATGAACATAAGTCACACACAAGAGGCTGGCCTGTGGCTTTGTGGGTTACGCAGGGCGGACCTCGCATGGCCGACTGCACTGTTCTGAGCTGCAACCCAGTGACTTGAAAAACAAACTGAGGTGCGTGTGTGTGGCTGCCCAAAATCCTGAAGGGAGGGAGAGATGGAGTAGAGGGGACTGTGGCTTGCCCATTCCTCATGGGAGGTGCTTTCTCTCCCTCCCCACCCCTCACCGGGAACACATTCTCACTCTAGCAAATTAAAACAAAACAAAACAAAAGTCAAACATGGAATTCCTTATAACTAAAAAACCCACTCATATACTCTATTATTGGGGCATTAGGAAAGTTATGATGCAATGTTTTGCATAGAAAAGTATATCATGATTTTTCTAATGATCTATTATTTCTTCATTAAAAAATGTTTTGGTTTATGCCATTTACTTTTATCAAAGAAGGGCAAAATAGGGACTTTTGCTTTCAGCCAATAAAAGGCATTTTGACCACTGAACTTAAAATATACTTGTTTCCGGGTCAGCAGGCGGTGTGGTGGTTAAAGGTGCTGGATTCCCACGTGACTGACAGCAGTTCAAGTCCCAGACCTGGCACATTGCTTTCTCACTTTCCCTTTCTCTCTGTCTCTGTCTGGTAAAATTAAGAAATAATAACAACAAATAGAATGAAATAAACAGTTCCTTAAAAAAATAAACTTGTTTCATTAAATTTTTTCTATAAAATGTGTAACTTTTTTGACAACTGAATAGGATACTCGTTGAGTATATCCCTTATTCAAAATGCTTAGGACCAGAAGTATTTTAGGTTTTGAATTTTTTCAGATTTTGAAACACTATCTGTACATTACATAGTGAGTTATCTTGGGGACGAGAACCAAGGGTAAACACGAGGCTCAAGTTTCATGTACACGTGATCTGCACAGCCGGAAGGCAATTTTATGAGTGTTTCTGTACTTTAGCATTTTGACTGTAACCTGTCACACAGGTCAGGTGCAGAATTTTCCATCTGTGATATATGTTGGTACTCAATTAACTTTGAATTTTGGAGCATTTCAGATTTCTGGATTAGGGATGCTCCACCTGTGTAACGGAGTGCAGTGTTTTTCCCATCCCTTGTAACTATTTACTTATTTATAAAATGTTGCCACAGGGCACACATGCTTGCTGCAGAGAGACAAGAGAGAAAGAAGGGAAGGGATGCAAGAAATCACCCTTCAGAGGGCATGGTCATGCTGCAATTCCTTCTCTTCTATCTCTTCCTCCTTCAGGGATTTTGGGCCCACAGGCACATGCACCTGGTGTTTTACAAGCTGCTGGGTCTGGGATTCAAACCATGTGATCAGCCATGTGGGATCCAGCTGCCTTAACAACCACACCACTGGCTGGCTTAACAGGTAATTTATGTAAAGAACATTTGGTAAGTTGAAGTTTTTTGGGGGAGTGCATTTAGCAGATGAGAGGAAGGGGGAAAGGAAGGAGAGAACAGACTAAGTTAAAAGTACATCAGAGCGGAAACAGCAAACAGCTGCTAGAACAGGCTTCCCAGAACAGCAAAGTCAGAGACAAATTTTAACTTCACCTCTACCAATTATCTGATGCATCCGTTCAGAAAGGAATTAAAATAGGCTTTGTGGATTTGAAAAATAGAATACTACCTATCCAGCCATAAAGGATGTTGTGAGGGACCAGCAGATGGCATAATGGGCACATCACTGGACTCCCATGTAGTTGACCAGTGGCTTAAAACTCATGCTGGGTATGTGTGTTTGCATGTCCAAAATACCAAGAGGAGAAAGGAGGAGAAGGGACTGTGGCATGGCCATCTCCCCGGGAGATGACTGCTCGTTTTCCGTCTCTCTCTCTCCAGCAAGTGCATGCATTCTCTAACAAAAATCTCTCCCACAAAAAGGACATTGTGAGGAAGATAAAAACCAATTTCTGAAATTTACTTGGAAAAACAATATAGGTACTATAAAAACAGATGTTATCATTTCTTACATAAGCCATAAATTAAATTATAGCTTCATCTGTATTTATAGCCACTCCCCATCACTCACATTAGTGCCCAAGTTCCACCTCCTGTCACATCAGTGGTGGCATTAGATTCTCACATAAAAACATCAAAAATCCCTGGGACCAGCAATTAGTGTAATGGCTATGTTGTTGGACTCCCACGTAGTCGACCGTGGTTTGAGTCCTGGACCCGGTGGCTTAAACTCATGCCGGGCACGTGTGCGTGTGTGCCCAAGATCCCAAGAGGAGAATGGAGGAGAAGGGATTGCGGCGTGACCATCCCCCCTGGGGGGGTGATTTCCTGCTTTCTGTCTCTCGTTCTCTCTCTGTCTGGAGAGTGCATGCACCCTATAGCGAAAACCTCTCCGAAAAAAAAAATCCAACTATCTGGGCCCAGCAGGTGATGTGACACTGGACTCCTACGTGGCCGACCATGGTTCAAGTCCTAGACTCAGTGGCTTGAAAATCATGCTGGGCACGTGTGTGTGTTTGTGTGGAGGTACCCAAAAATCCTGCGAGGAGAATGAAGAAGGGATTGCCATGTGGCCACCCCACCGCCATGATGTCTTTCACTTTCCCTCGCTCTGTTTCTTTCTAGCAAGTGCATATGCCCTATAGCAAAAAGAAAAAAAAAAAGTTCACTCATTGCCCCCCATAATTCCAGTTTGGCTTTGAATGCAGCTGCATTCTAGTTGCAAAAACAGCTCAGAAGTCCCACTGATTCTGCATTCTGGTGAGGTATACAATTTCTCATCATGTATTACAATAATACCATTAGAAGTCAAGTGCACAACAACTGTAACGTGCTTCAGTCATTCTGAAACCCCCCCACCCTCCTTCAGCCCATGGAAAACCTGTCTTCCATCACATCGGCCCCTGGTCCCAAAAAGGCTAGGACTGCTTCAGAGGGTTGCCTAAACAGTGCTTTGGTTAAGAACAAGGAATGAAGATGGGCGTTTTCATAAATCACTTCGCTCAACAACTATTTACCAGAGATTAACTTTTAAATATTTAGTGTTTAGCAAGAAAAATTAAAAAAAAATACCACTCAACAAATTACTTTTTTAACCTGAGAGGGAGGGAGAGAGAGAGACATGGATTCCAGACAGGGTCTGGCCATGCCATGATCCTTCTCCCTG